TGTAACATTCACAGTGTGAAGTGTTTTGAAAAAGTGGATATGGTATTGAGACAAGTGTGAAAATGATTGGCAAAAACTGTAATTCTTTATCAATTGTGGGATGCATTGTATAAATATTTATGATTATAAAATTTAAAATCAGGTGTGATTAATCACAGTAAACTATGTGATTAGTTAATTTTTTCATCAGTTTACAGCCACAATATATAGTGTATTCATTTCGTATGGATGTAATGATTCTCCAAATCCAGATTTTTGTTCAGACCTTGTTTTTTGAGCCTCAGTTTTTTGGTTTTTTTTTGGCAGGGGGAGGGTGGGGGGTTAATATGAAAAAAAAAAAACGGGGAAAAAAAATCTCTATTACTAATTACCAACAATATGGAACACTAAAGAGAAGAACACTAAAGAACATGTTAGATCGAATTCACATAAAATAACTACGGAATTTTTTGTAACACGACAAACTGTGTGCATTTTGTCCAGTACATGATTGCCATCTCTATTTTCCATTGGGTAACCAAAATCATCCCACACCACTGAATTCAATGTGCTCAGGGGATCATGATTGGACCAAAATAGTCACGTGACACATGCAGTTTTTTTAGTTTTAGTAGTTTTTTAAAACTTAAAATAGTTTTCTTATCCTGTAGGTAACAAGTGAATTGATCTTAAAATTACATTTTAAAACTCTATCAATTGCTAAAGAATCTTTAAAGTTAATCAAAATCCGATCAAAATCCTTAAAAATCTATTTTTCTCAAATGAATCATGCTGTAATTGCCATTTTTAATATAGAATTTTAAAAGCTGTTTTGTTTTGGTGTTCCCGCTTTTGAAATTTATGAATTCAGGAAACTAGCATCCCTACTACAGAAGGGACAGTGAGGCAGGAAAAATCAGGCTAATTAGCCAGACCATGTTGATCAGTTCATGTTAGGGAAAAACAATAACACTCAAGGTGGTTCATTTACAATAACCCAACTCACTAACTTTTCTATTCCTGTTCAAAATCCCATTCATAATCAAAGGTTAAGCTTTCCTCATAATCAGATTGAGAAATTAAGCTTAACATGTGTTTCACTACTTACTACTCAGAAGAAGTTCTCCCGGTCGGCTATAACATCTAGTAAAATTGCAAAAAGATCAGTAAGTGATTCCAGCCTTCTCTTCTCAGAGCAGTATTCAAAGCTACAACATGTCCAAAGCTAATGCTAGAGCTGAGGCACTTTTAACAGACGACCACTGTGAACTGGTAAATATGGAGACAAACGCCAAAGGTACCAAAAGCACCTTCACATTGCCTTCCAAGCTGCCAATACCGCAGAAAAACCAAAAAGGAGAGGAGAATTCAAGATTCAAGATTCAAAGAACTTTATTAATCCCAAAGGGAAATTGCTTTGTCTTGGTTATACAGTTGCTCTGATTAATTTACTGGGAAGAAAGGAAAAAAAAGAAAATAGTTTAGGAAAAAGTATTAGAATGGAAAAATATAGATATAAAAATTTAAAGAAAAATACCAATAAATAGAAGTAAAATATAATAAAATTAAATTAAGTATAGCACACATGTTTAGTAATGCACTAGAAATGCCGTGTAGATAAGGAGAAATATTGCACAAATGTAATAGTCAGATATTGCACTTGGAACATTAGTTGAGAACAGTAGTGTTGTAAAATATTATTGAGCAGGAACTACTCATAGTTCAAGTCCCGTACTGAAAACATTACAGAGAAGAGTTATATAAATACATCTGCTGGCTCCCATGCTGGATATGTCTCCAACGCTGCAATCCTGGCAACGATTAAAATTCTTCGAAACATGGAGGAGGAATTAAAAACAGAGCTAAAGCATAAACCGTTAACCATATCTAATCTCAGAAAAACGGTTGAAATCACAGATCGTAAAAAAATTACCAAAGCAACAGATGAAGAAATGAAACAAAGAGAAAAACATTCAACTGAGAAAAAAGTTGCAGAACTGGAGCGCTACAAAAGGAGATGGAACTTAATATTAGCTGGTTTAAAAGAAGGCAATGGAGAAAACACACAGCAGATCATGATAAATATCATCCAAAAGATTGCTCCACAATGGGGGCAGAAGATGGATTTCATCCTGGACTCTGTTCACCATCTAGGACCTGTCATCCTCGACAGACCATCATGCAGTTTACTGGAAGGGATTTCAGGGTTTCAGTCGTGATCAGCAGGGGTCGCCATTCTCCTGAAAAATTTCCCTGGTCAGATTGTATCCCGTAAAGCAGAAGTTCACTGTCTTTGGCTGTCCCTCATTCTTACTCTTGATGAGTTGAAATTCATATTACTCAATGTCTATGGCTACAATAACAGCAGAGATAACAAAGAATTGTTTGACCAAATCTCCTTACACCTGGACCTTCTTAAATGATCACATTTGACTGACAAAGTTATAATTGGGGGCGACCTTAACGATTTTTATAAGTCTCCCTCCAGATATTATGCAAATCACCCCAACACCACATTTTCTAACCTTTGCAATGAACAAAATCTAACTTATGCATGGAGACACTTTAATCGAGGAATTCTTACATAAACATGGTTCAGCTCAAATCAAAACCTAAAATTGAGAACTGACCATTGGTTAATTACAGGCCACTTGCTATGTTAGGAAATCAGTTCTGATATTTCTATTGCTCCACAAACCAATCATAGTGTTATCTATCTGTACATTAAACCTAAAAACTGATGAATTCATGTAAACAAATACTGGAAGTTTAATTCCAGTCTGCTTAAAAATAACAATTACTGCCAAAAAATTAAATCACTGATTACAGAGATCATGAACTCTGAAGAACTAACAACACTGGTCAAGAAATGGGAGTTTATAAAATATGAACTGCCCCAGTTTACCATTTCTTTCATGAAAAAAAAGTGAAAAGTGACCTTGAAAGAAATTAATTTAATTATAAAACAATTAAATGTATACTGCAATAGACCTAACCCTAATGAAGATGATAGACAGAAAATACTAAACCTTCAGTCCAAAAAGCACAAGAGGCATTTATCAGATCTAGCACTAAATGGATTGAGTAGGTGAAAAAAAACAATTTCTGCATTTCTGCATATTTTTGTGGATGCTATTGGATTTCTGATTGTTAATAAAACAGAAATTACAGATGACAAATTAATTTCCTCAGAAATGTTTACATTTTATAGCCAACTTTACAGCTCTACATTTTATAAAGAGGACCCTCACACATTTATAAAGTACATAACTAAATATATCCCCAAAGTAAATAACTGCAAACAAATGTGTTAAAATCATATAACAATTGCAGAAATTGATGCAGAAATCGGTCACCTTTCTCTTACAGTTTTTCTGAATTGCTAAATCACATTTCCTAAAATCTCTTCTCCTTTTCTCAAAACACTAAGCACAAACCCTAAAGTTCAAGCTACACTGACAAAACCTTTGAGTCATCAAACAATTTTCTCAAAACTATATTATCTTTGCTCAAAAGCAAACACTGCTTTCAGATCATGCATCAAGCCAGTCAGTACCTAAACACTACTGAGCAGTCATTACACACTACAGGTCGACCGTATTTGTTTATGTAGTGTGTCACAATTGCTGAGTAGTGTTTTTACATTTGCTGGTTTTGTGTGTTTCCTGACAGTTGTGCTTGATTTTGAGTAAAGTTAAAATTGTTTTGGTTCAGCTGTTTGATTTTGCTTGATGTTAAGGACCTGAGTAGTCCGTGACCTGCTTGATTGAACTGTTTAATGTTACTGAGAAACTAGTCAAAAGTAGTCAAAAACAGGCCTTGATGAAATTGATCTGAAATGAGATAGAATAACATCAATAAATAAGTTATAGTGTAAACTGCAATACATGAGCTGAGTAAATCACTTTCACAGCAGCCGTCTGCTAAGCAACCAGAGGTCTGACTCCAATGTGTTACTGACTCTCCACTTCAGGCTGAGCCCGTATGAGTGGTACAATAATCCCCCCTTGAGCATCAGGTCATGCTGGCGAACCAGTACACCGTGGGAAACAGCCTGTTGTTTCCTCATGGGGGGGTTCATGCAACAGGGCTTGGAGATCATGCCCCGCGCGCTCTCCACTCGCTGCGTCAGTGGCGTCTGGTGAGTGATCCACTCAGGGATTTACACAGGGATAGTGTCCAGATAATGATACAGATCCTTATACCTGGCATGTGCTACACAGTGCAAGGCAGCTCAGAGTGAGAGAGGGTGAGTCATGTGACTTTAGGTCATGTAGCGCATACTTGGTTAAGTGTATCTGTTTGCATTTATGGGCATGGGCTGGTACTGTGTATGTCCTGTGGCGTGTGTGAACGAAAAAGTTTCCGTGCATCGATACAAAGCTCAGTCTGTTTATATGCATTTAGGTTCGATGGTGTATGAGTGCCTGTGTTCCTGTTGCAACTGTGTCCTCAGGTCTTGGGATAGAAAACATCAGGGGCAACTTCGTGGTGCTGATCTGCTGTCTGATAATCGCCGTGTTTGTTGCCATCACCCTTGGCCCAGCCAGACCCAGAGATCCGGCCCAGTAGATCACCGTAGCGGCTTGCCGGATGTGTCTGTCTTTGCTTCGTCATGAGCAGGCTGTCATGCGAGCCTCTCTGAGGGGCTGCTGTGTGCTTCAGAGTCTGGGTGAAGCTGTGGCTTCCGCCATCCCTAAGTGCGAGACGCCAGTGCTGGCCCACGCGCCTTGGTCATGCAACTTTGCCGAAACACACACAGAGATGGGATTCAACCCCCAACCCTGATGTACGACCCTCAGCTCAGCTGCTGGGTATGCCTTAGCATAATTCCGGTGAATTACTTAGAGATTATTATGAGAACAATGAGTGCTATAACTGCCATGTGAACATGCAGTTTGGAGTGAGGGTGTCTTTCACTGCCAGACCACTGGTTTGCAGTATGCAAATGAGCTGATTGTGTGTGTATATGTAGCTGAGAATGTGACAAAAGGGTGCAAATAAGCAACAGAACACAGCAGTCTGTTCTGCACAGCATTTATTCACTGGTATTATCATACCACACGCAGGCCGAACCAGGAAACATGTAGCTTGCTGACCCTGTCTATCAGCAATAGGGGCACAAGCGAACAACAGCAATATCTGGCAGTTAATAGAACACTTTACTTAATGAACCAATGTCACATGTAATGAAGCATCAGAGCTCAGTCCGGAGTGGTTAGGCCCTCTTGGTCTCGGCGTAAGTTGTGTCCCTGTCCGCGTTCGGTCCACCTGAAGGAAGATGGGCGCTTGACACTTGGCTGGGAAAGATCACTTCTCCATACTCTACGTCTGGTTTGGACTGGGGAACCTTCGTGCTGCCTGCTTTCCTGAAGAAACCAATTTCTGCATAGTTTAAATCCTGGGAAAAAATATCATTAGTTGCTAATTAGAAAAGTTCAGAAAAAACATCCATAAATAAATAACTATAAAGCAACTGGGGTCCACATGCAGCACCCTTAATACCGAACTAGGACATTATACTTGCAGACTGGAATAATGGATAGTGACCACAATCCACTGGAAACTACTGATTGCTCAAATGTAGCTTCATGAACCATTTGCTCTATTTTCTAATCCCACTAGATGGTACTTACTGTTCAAAAATGGGCAAAGCAAGCCCCAAAACAAACCAAGAGCACCATGAAATGGTGTCAGAGGATACAGCAAATGGTTCATGAAGCTTCATTCGGCCATCACTACTGGAAACACGGCATACTAGCTAACATTTGACAGAAACATACACCTCTATTAAAGGGGCAGTTCACCCCAAAATAAAAAAATATGTTATTCTAGTATGCTGCAGGGCTATTTATCCATCTAGTTTGTTAGGGTGAGAGTTGCCTAATTGTGGAGATATCGGCCGTAGAATGTCTTCTCAGAAAAATAATGGGACTGAATGGCATTCTTTCTGTGGTGATTAAAGCACCAAAAATTTGAAAAATGCAACAACAGAGTCTCTTTCCAGAAGTCATGACCGGGTTACAACAAACAAACAAACAACAAACAAATTTATTTTTGTATAGCACATTATCACAACATTACATTGTCTCAAAGCGCTTTACAGCATCCCCACCCAAAGCCCCCAGTGAGTAAGCCATAGACGACAGTGGCAAGGAAAAACTCCCGAGAAGGAAGAAACCTTGTGAGGGATCAGACTCAAAGGGGGAACCCATCCTCCAGGGGCCGGCAGGGAGAGTCAAATTGGAGAGATGGCTAAGTGCCATGTCATACTCAAAATAATCCACAGACTTAGTAGTGAGCAGTTTAATGTAGAAACTATTTAACTTCTACCAAACTCCACACACCAACCATATCACTGTGCAGAACTCATGGCGCTCATGTTCCTGACAATGTGACCGGATGTGAACATCAATGGCGTCCATCTCGGGTGAGCTCTCACGTTAGCTAGCTCAGTAGTGCTAGGTGAGCTATCAGTTAGGTTACCACCTAATCCATGTCAGAAAGGACACTTTGATTTAGGACAGGATTTGTAAACTGGCATTTCAATCAAAAGGACCTGGATTTCACTTAAGCACCGAGTGAATTTTAGCTGTGTGCTGATTGGTCAGTGCATGTGCCACTAATGTTAATGTGAAACAGCTGGATGAGACTTTTGGTCAAGGAAAGAAACAGTCAAAGCACAAGAAAAAACTGAACTATTTTGCCAAGCACAGGAGCTTTTCAGTTTTAAAGAAGTTTGTAAAATCTAAATTAGTTCAAAGTGTCCTTTCTGACACAGATTAGCTGGTAACCCTAACTATCAGTATCAGTTAGCATCAGCTAGCAACACTAACAAATAGCAAAAAAACTATCTTAGCTAATAGTAATAATAGCTCGATACTGTTAGCTCACCTTTTTTTGGTGCTTTGATCACCACAGAAAGAATACCATTCAGTCCCATAATATTAGCAAGAAGACCAACATTTAAACGTTTTTTGATTTTGGGGTGAACTGCCCCTTTAAAGATGCTCCTAGTGTCATATTTGTCAGTGGCTGACTAATATAAGAATAACTGTTTCTTGGCATGCTAACTCTCAGGCTCTCGTCCTGTATCTGTGCTCAGGGCACTTCCCCTTCTTCTCCTTAAATCAAATCAAATAGGCTTTTGTCAATTTCCTATATGTTCATAACATACAAGGGAATTGAAATGATGTTCCTCTCTCGTCTTTGTAATGCAGTACAAAAAGGAAAAAAAAAGTAAAAAGTATAAACATATAAGACATGAGATAAATACGATAAAACTAAAATAAGTAAACCTCTATACAGTATACAGTACAATATACAACATACAGTCAGTGATGCAAAAACAGCATATAAAACTAGTAAGAGTGATGTAAAGTGAGGAAGTGCATTCTAGAGCAGCTTTTGAGTGCAAAAAAGACAGTTGGCAGGTAGTTCCCTGGTAGGTAGTGACTAATGCAGTTCTGTTACATCATGTGCAAGATGAATATTGTGAGATGTTTTAAACCACTATGATTATGTTTCATTCATTTTATTTTTTACAGATGAATATAAATCTAAAGGGATTTTCCAGTGTTTTTGGGTTTTGAAAGTTTTCTGTTATATTTTCACCCAACTTAATTCAAGATGCCACAACCTAGATACGTACCTTATCTTGATCATTGGTGGTCTGATCTGGGCCTGTGGTGGAATCAGTTAAGCAGACTGATAAGCCATGTTTTCTGATTTATTTTTAGAGAAGTGGATTTGTGGCAACAACACAGTGAGACAATAAGATCAGCTGCGACTTACGGCTTCTTGCGCTGGTCGTTTTCCGGGCACTGTGGAAAAATGAAATGTTAAAGTCAGCATATTAGTAGCATATATCCAATGTTTTAATGACCTATTTGTTCTTGTAATATCAAATCATTGCTACGGCAACTATGTTTACTGTTTGAATGTGAATTTCTTACTAAAATACTTTGTCATATTTATACGGACCATATAAATCATATCATGTTTTTATGTTTTTCAGATGGCAGCTCATCCTGTGTGTTTCATAATCATCCTGCAAGACTCGCTCTGGGTGGGACAGCAGACAGGACCACATGACGTGGGGAGGAGAGCAGGAAATAAGGACTTTATGTTGACCGAGGTGGAGATTGGGTTAACAAAACAGACTCGAGGAAAAAAAAATCAATCGTAGATGAGGGGAGAGGTATGCTTGAAACCAAAAACACATTGGGTTATGGAGGAGCTGCAACTGAGGACTGGAGAGCCTGAGTTTGTTCACACTGTGAGAGAAAAGGAAGCTCTTAAGATTTGGGAACAAGTGACAGGTGAACTGAGGGGGTTCACTGGACATCTGACTGCACCTTGCCCCAGGATGTACAGTCCTGATCAGGATTATTGGCACTCCTCAATTGTAAGTACCGAATGTAGATAATCTTCAGAAATAATTGCAAATGTACCTATTTTGTATAATCAGAATATGTAATGAAATGTTCAGTTATTGAACAACAACAACAAGAAAGCTGTTACATTTTATAGTGAAATAAAAAATATTGACATAAAATGTACACTGGACCCGATTATAACTGGCACCCTTTACTAATACTTGGTCGCAGAACCTTTGGCAAATCTCTGGAAACATTTATTGTAGCCATCTATAAGCTCCTTGCATCCATCTGCTTGTAGCTTCTGCCTCTCTTCCATTGCTATGCATTCAAGCTCAATGAGTCCTTTTTGCAATGGCAAATTTCAGCTTCCTGTGAAGGTTTTCAGTGGGATTTAGGCCAGGGCCAGTTTAAAACAGTCCATCTTCCATTTTCAGCATTCTCTTTTACTGTTCGACGTGTGCTTTAGGTTGTTGTCCTGCTGAAAGACCCAAGATTTTTGCCCAAACCTAGTTTTTGGACACTAGATAACACATTTCCTTCTAAAATATCATGGTAATCGTCTGATTTCATCATTCTTTGGTACATTCAATGCCTTCTGTACCAGAGGCAACAAAGCAGCCCCACAACATGATAGAACCCAAATCATACTATGCTGTAAGTAGGGTGTTCTTTTCCTTATGGGCTTCATTACTTTGCCTATAAACAAACTGCTACACTACATTCCCAAAGAGCTCTACTTTGGTTTCATCTGTCCATAGAAAGATTATGGCTTACCTAAGAAAGTTTTTGCCTTTTTGGGTTGTTCTCTCAATAATAGTTTCCTCCATTGCCTTCACCCATGGAGTCCTACTTGGGTTAGTGTGTGGTTTATGGTACAGACAGAAACCACCACTCCAGTTGCTCCAGGTCAGCCTGAAGCTCTGCGTTGTGTTTTTTCCACAATCAGCACCAACCTTCACAGGCTCACAGTTTCTTCTTAGCACCACCTCCTGAAAGTATCTTAATACTTTTATGACTGGGAAACGTCTTGATAATGTTTGCCTTCTAACTTTGAAATATTGTTTTATGATAATGGCAGTTCTGATGCTCTTCGGACAGCTCTATTGTCATTGCCATTGTGAAAAAGAATCTGGAAGCAATCAGCCCCTTTTTATGTAGTAAAACTATCATTCGTTGCTTAATTCAGGTCATGTGCACATTGAAGGTTAAGCACAGGTGAATCTTGTTTCCTAGTTTGTTTGAGGAAGTAATTTATAATCATACAGTATTAAGGTGCCAATAACCGTGTCCAGTGTACAGGTTATGTCTATATTTTTTATTTCACTATATGACAGGTTTTAGTTGCTGTTTAATAACTTTTTACATTTTATTAAATATTCTAATTATACAAAAATGGTTAATTTGCATTTATTTCTTTAATACTTGCAGCTGAGGGATGCCAATAACCAGAATGACCAGAACTGTACATGACTAACCTGGTTTTACAGTTAACAGCTAACTCGGGATTAACATCTGTGTATCATTGAAGTCAGATTATCCCATAATGAAGTGTACGTACTGTTTTAGGGTGACATACACAGCGGCAGCCAGCAGGACTGTGAACAGCAGGGCAGCCATGACAGTTCCCACAATCCAAAGGGAAGCTCCATGGGAGGGCTCTGTGAAGTGTGAGACCGTCTAAACTGAACTCACAGTAAAACATGCTGAAATACAGTGACAATGTAGTATATAACACTGACATGCTACAACCGAATATTAAGGGCAAGATATGCTTAAGTCATATATAACGTGTGGATTTACACTGGTTTTCTTAAGAGTACATCTGTTCTCTGTATAATTTTCATAGAAAATGTGATTTTTTTTTTATTTTATTGAGAGCTAATTTTACGACTGTGTGTTTCTGCATTAGTTAGTAAAGCATACAAACCATTCAGCATAACATCTCTGCTCTTACCTGTTACAGTGACTGTGGTGGTCGCTTGAAAGCTGCCGCTGGGGAAGGTGGTGTACTGACAGACGTAGTTTCCGGTGTCATTCATTATCACGTCTGAGATTCGGATGGACACATGATGCTGGGAGTGACTGAAAAAAGTTATTCTGTCACTGAATTTGAGACTTGGGTAATTTGCCTCAGACCCTTTTTTAAAAACAACAATTTTCTCTTCAGGCTTCTCTGATGATCCCCATGACCACTCAACCTGTATCACGTTGGTATTGCTCACACTCAGCCTACAGTTCAGTGTGAAATCACCACCCAGGTCAGCATTAACATGTGGATCTGTAATGATGTGTGGAACATTTCCAGCTGAAAGACAGATGGACAGAGAAAAGAGACCGAAGTCAATGGCTGCATTGTTGTACAATTGTTACACCAGCAGGTTAAATGTCACTAAATCAACCTCATATTGGACTGTGGGAGGAAACCCATATAAGGGAGAACGTGCAAAATGTACACATTCTGGGGGGTAGGAAGGGAACCCCTGGACCTGAAAATGTGAAGCTACACCGTTATCCACTGAGCCACAGACAGACTAGTGGAAAATCACCATAATTATCTATTAATATACAATGGATATAAAAAGTGTACACACCCCTGTTAAAATGCCATGTTTTTGTGATGTAAAAATGAAATGATAAATCGTTTCAAAACTTTTCCCTCCTTTAATGTGACCTATATCCTGTACAATTCAACTGAAAAGAATCTGTTAGGGGGGAAAATATAAAAAATTAAAATAAAACTGGGTGCATGAGTGTGCACACCCTTAAACTAATACTTAGTTGAAAGACCTTTTGATTTAATTACATATTAAATATTACATATTAATTACAATTAAATATTCAGTCTATTTAAGGGAGTGTATCAGCATGCCACATCTTGATTTGGCAATATTTGCCCACTCTTCTAAAAGCGCTTCAAATCTGTCAGATTGTAATGGCATCTCTTGTGCACAGTCACTTTTCACATCACAAAAACCTGCCATTTTAACAGGGGTGTGGACACTTTTTGTATCCACTGTACATACAAGATTCTTTTTCTATTTATTTATTTATTTATTTATTTATTTATTTTTATTGCCCACCACCACCACCCCCCCTCTTCAGAGGACAACTTTATTTTACATTAAATTCAAGAGCAAAGAGTGTGAACTCCGAACTCACCCGTCCTAGTACCGTGAAGGGAAAAAAAAAAAAAAGGGAAAGGGGGGGGGGATACAGAAACAACAATCGTAACAATAACAGACATTAATCACCATGGTGAGAGGGGGAGAGAGAGAAAAAAAGAAAACAAAGGTATACAGAAATAATAACACTAATAATGTAGTTGGGATGGAGAAAATTAAGTATAGGGGAATACAGAATACAAACAACCATAAGAAACATAACAATCATTACAAGGACATCAAACAACAAAAATTATAACAATATCAATAATAATTAATAATGTTACAAATAGGTATTATATATATGTATTATATATATGTAGCATACACACACGTGATCCTACCCTTATACATGTATATTTCAATTCCTATATCTATAACACACACTAAAAAATAATAATAATGATATTGATCGCTCAACCATTCTTGTATGTGCAAGGGTAGGTGTGAACTGATTTGTCATTGGATGTACATACAAGATTCTTACCTGTATAATGAGCCAGGCTGGTCATCACCAGTAAAATGGAAAATACACCAAATTCCATTATGGGAAAATATTGATGATTTCAAAGCTGACCTGAGAGAAAATTGACCATTGCACTTTTATGGGATTATAATAATAAAACATATAATTATATCCCTGTGTTGGTTTTGTAGCCAGCTTATTATGTCACCCAATTGGGAAATACATATGATTTTGGGACTGGACTGCCATCACTACAGACATTTCCTCATTTACTGTCATAACACGTCGGTGATAACGATGGGAAGGGAAGCACAGGAGTCCAGGAATAAGGGTAATGAGAGATTTATTGCGAGAAACAACACTGAATATGGGGAGAGGACTGGCAGCAACGTTAAACTGATGTTAATGACAGGACTGGGGAAACATACTCTAACGAAATGCACTAGACATACTCTAACATACTCTAGACTGAAATGCACAGGAATCAGGAAAACAATTCAAAACAGCTCATCACACGGGGATTACACACAAGGTTAATGAGGGGGCAGAATTTGACTTAGTGATGAACTGGAACTGGTCAAACTTTGAGACAGCTTGAATTAATTTTGGTTCTGCTTTTCCTTTTGTTCCAAGTTATTTTTTCCTAGTGTCGTAACTGCTAGTGTTTGGTTAATGTTCCCTAGTTTCCTGTTTATTAATTGTAATGTATTCCACCTGTTTGTCGTCCTGTGCCTTCCTGATTGGTTGATTTGGTTATAGTTCACACTTGCCCTTTGTCCTCACTCTCTGTGTATTTATGTGCCTGCCTCATTTCATTTCCCCAGTCAGTTGTTGTTCATGTTACTGCATGTTAGTAGCTCTGCTGGTTCACTAGACCTGCTCCCTGGTTTGCTCTCTTCCATAGCTGTGTGTACTTTGTAGTTTCCTTAGTTTTTTCTTCATTTTTCCCTGTTTGTTTTTGACCCCTCACTTTCCTTTTGTTTTGTGTTCTTCCCCAGTGTGTTCAGTTTGTTTAATAAACCCCCTTGTTCTCGGAGCCGCACCGTGGATCGTAACCTTTTTCTATCTTCGCCATGCCCCGCCATAACAGTTTAGCATCTACTTTGCAAAATAGTGCCAAAGTGCTAGAAACAGCAATATAATATACTCATGTGTGATGAATAAATAGAAAATACACAACTATACAGCAGTATACATATTGGATTTCAAATGAAATAATAATAATAATATACATAGTCCCCTCATTTTTACTGTGGGTTCAAAAGTAATTTTACAATTGACTAACAAGCTGCTTCATGGTTGAGTGTGGGCTGTTCCCTCATAATTGTATTAATGGTTAAACAGGTAAATGGTATGGACTGTGAATTTGCATTTGAGCTGTCAATGCAAGTAAAGCAGGCCATTGTTAGGCTGAGAAAACAAAACAAACACATCAGAAAGACAGCAGAGACACTAGGAGTGCCAAAATCAAGTTTGTTACCTCCTTAAAATGAAGGAACACCCTCTGCTAAAGTCTACAGTCAGGAGAAGTCTTCATGAAAGCAAATACAAAGGGTTTACCACAAGGTGCAAACCACTGGTAAGACTGAAGGATATGAAGGTCAGATTAGACCTTGCAAGAAAACACTACTGACAGAACAAGCTTCCCCAGGTCTGGAGAAAAATTCTTTGTACAAATTAAAAGAGTATGGAGAAGGGAATGAATGGCTTATGATCCACAGCCTACCACATCATCTATAAAACATGGTATAGGCAGTGTAATGACATGGCAAGGCATGTATGGCTGCCAGCGGAATTGGGTCACTAGTGTTTATTGATGATATTGCTGCTTGCAGAAGTACAAGGATCAATACCAAAGTATATATTTTGTTAGAATCAGCAAATGCTACGAAACTGATAGGACGGTGCTACTCAGTAGAGATAGACAATGGCCCAAAACAGAATGTGAAAGCAACCTAAGAGCTTTTCATAGCAAAGAAGTGGAATATTATTCAATGGTAGAGTCCGTCACTGTCACGCCCACGGAGGCGGGACGCGACAGGTGTAGCTCATCCACAAAGGACTGACTGCCTTTATAAGCAGAACGGGACCCGCTATGCTTCGCGAAGTATTGAGCTAATGATTTGCAGCCATACCAAGCGTTTCTCTCGTCTCTCGTCTGCCCTCTTCTCCCGTCCTTACCTGTTATCCTGTTGTGCGACCCTCACCCTCTTGCCTTCCCTCCTCAGACCCGTTCCCGTACCTGACCTGCCTTCCCCGCTGAGCCCGGCATCTCCTGTTCCCCCTTCCTTGTGTGTCCCGGTCTCGTGCTTACCTGTCGGACGGATCTCCCGGATAACGAACCCAGCTTACGGACAACGACACCGATTCCTGCTCGCCCCTTCGGTCCCGTGCCATCGGATCTCTCCCGGAGAGATCGCTCCCTCGCCTACGGCGCTTTCCCCCTGCGCGTCGGCAGAGAAGGCTGCACTCCTCCGAGGCAAGAAGCCTATCTCCTCCTCTCCCCGCCTTCCGGAGCCACTAATAAAGCTCCTTTACCCCTGCATACCTGGATCTCCTTCTCCCTTCTTCTTCGGGGCTGACAGTCACCTGACCTCAACCTAAGTGATCATGCATTCCACTTGCCGAAGACAAAACTTAAGGCAAAAAGACCAACAAACAGGCAGCAACTGAAGACAGCTGCAATAAAGGCCTGTCAAGGTATCACTAGGGAGGAAACTCAGCATTTGGTGTGTGGGTTTCAGTCTTCAGGCTGTCATTGAGTGCAGAGTATTTTCAGCTAAGTGCCTAAATTGTATCAATGTGCAAATACTTATGGACCAAACTGTATGCAAATATATAGTATATATAAGTAATTATATACAGTGGTACCTCGGTTCTCAAACTTAATCCGTTCCGGACTCTGGATCGAATCCTAAAAAGTTCGAGTTCTGATCGAATTTTTCCCATAAGAAATAATGGAAAACCAATTAACTGGTTCCCGGCCCCCCAAAATTACACCTAAATATGTGTTTTGTTTTTGTTTTGTTTTTTTTTCTAGTATTTAAACACAAAATGAACAGGATAAAACAAGAAGAGCATTTTTTTCTTAATGGCTTCCAAAACGATGAAGATCTTATCCCAACATTACCCCTGTCCTGCCCCGATCGTCTGCTCCTTCCGTGTGCCACGCCCCCTCGTTAACCTCTTGTGGGATCCCCATGTGATCAGCTGTTTCTGGTTGTTGTCATTAGTCCTCTGTATTTCGTCCGCGTTTCAGTTTGTTTCCCTAGTCCGGTCATTTGGTGGGTTCGACTTGCTTACAGCGCTGGCTTAGAGCAACGCATTCAGATCCTGAAGCAATGCATTACGGTTAGATGCATTACGACCTCTCACCCAGCTGCACAAACTGGAACCGCCTCCGTGACGACACACCTTTGCCCTTATTGGCTGAAGAGTTTAGTTGCACGCATGACGTTTGTATCCCAGGCAGTTCCGATGCGTAATCTGCTGTTTCTCCCAAATATCACGTAAAGTAGTGAGAACTGGGCCGGTATGCATAAAACTTCCTAAGAATGGTCTTAAGAATGGTCGTACACTTGGACTTAAGAGTAAAAAAAACTTAGCAAAAAGTAGGACCTAAGAGCATTGTTTAAAGCTGCTAAAAGTAATGAGGGGTTAATTCTATAATAATGTAGCTTTTGAAAATAATGCACTTACTAACACGGGAACTGAGAGTGGGTGGGCAGGACGAGGTGATCTTACACCGAACAGTTGGGAGAAATCAGGAACTGACAGAGTGCGACCAGGTCAGGATGACCTCATCCCTGACAGCTGAAAAACAGGAACCCATAATTTAGCCGATGCTTATTTTAACCTTGCTTGTCATGAAGGGGGGACATGTACTCACTAACTAGAGCAAATGTCAATGTACTCACGAACTAGGACAAATGTCAAAATATGTTGAAGTCACGTAGATGGAGAAGTATCAAGAGAAGGGGGGCAACACCCAGAAGGTCTATAAAAAGATAGAGCTGACAAGCTATGTTTTGAGCTTCTTCCTCTACATGCTGAATGTATGTCAGATAGTCGCTCCCTGATCAGAATAAACTGGTGAGTTGCAACTACTCCTCGACTGTGCTGTGAATCTCTTCTCATCAACGGACTCGGTGGAGGGTGAACTCCAACAGTAACTTTCAGCAAAGTCTAAGCCCAATTCCTAAGTGCTGACGGAGCCAGCATTTAAGTGTCGTGAAATGAGGACTACAAATAAACTCCCGCCCCAAATACTGAGTTCAACCAATAGAGGAGCTGCACGGTGAATATATTAGTGACATTAAACCGTTAATGTACAGCTTCATACAACATACCTTTCTGTGATCATACCTTTAATTGGTTGTACGAAAATCTACCTAGCACATCACAAATCAATTTCCACTAATAGATGTACATGTTGTATATATTATGGGTCAAACGCAAAGCTCATAGCAAGACATTGAATTCTAAAAGAAAACCAAACTGGACGACAAACAAAACGGTTCTTTTGGCACAGTTGGTGCTTAAATGGAAGGAGGTAGTGCGAGGAAAGTTTGGCCCAGCTGTTACAAGCACAGACAAAAAACCTTAGGGGGCTATTGCAAGCTCCGTAAATGCTGCGTCACCTCAGACACGGCGTTCAGCAGAGGAATGTGAAAAAAAGTGGTATAATGTTTTATCGACCTCGCGAAAGGAAATCACAGTTTATAAAGCAAGCATGCAAGCTACAGGTTTGTGTCATTACTTATTTTGCTCTTATGACCCTCGCTATAATAAATGATGATGATAATAATAATAATAATAATTATTATTATTATTATTATTATATTTTTCCAGTTGCCAAAAACGTAGCATCATTATCACCTTCAGTTCACCTTCAGTTCAAGTGCATTTTTAGGTGACGTAGGAGATTGTATCCGATTCCTAATTAGGTTGGTAACAAAAAGAATGCCGTCATGATCGAGCCTGTACCTTTTTATCAATTCATTATTGTCGTACGTCTGCAGTACGCCCTTTCTTTCACGGAAAGTGCACGGTCTCCGTCTTCGTGCGCGTAGTGCTGCTGCCATCTTGCAACTAATAACTGGTTTAGCTCTCTTAAATAATTTAGGAGCTGAGTCCTACTCTTAATACTTAAGAATGTTTATGCATGCCACTTATTCTTAAGTCTGGGAGTAGGAGCAAAATCACGTCACTCTTAGAATTGTGACGCATTTAAGAGTGAAATTTTACTCTGAGAAGTTTTATGCATACCGGCCCTGGTTTTCAGTTAATTTACCTGGTAAAATAAAGTTTAAATAAATTACATAAATGCTCTAATAGTACACATAAGTTAGTGGTTTATTTATTGTTAGTTACTGTAATGTTGCGCTGCTTTATTTGGTTAATCGTCCAGTCTGTGAAGAAGGCATTCAAGTAAGAAATTACTCATTTCCTGCCGCATACAATTTATATTAGGTCAGCGTTCACGGTTCGACTTCTGATATTCAGATCGAGTTCTAGGTCAAACTGGTTTGTTCGACTTTCAAGAAATTCGAGTTCTAGTGAGTTCGAGAACCAAGGTACCACTATATTAAGATGGCGGCGCGGCGATAGCATGCAGCAGCCACTCCGGATCCAAATAGTGCTGTTTTTGTGCTATTATTGTTCTATACTGCTTCCCACCACGACTTCTACGCGTACATTGATACTAGAACAAGCGGCGTTCATGTCTACCAACAACAAACACTCCTAAACTACAAGGATCACCCAAAAACTGACATCCAACATGATCTGCTGGAGACGCTGCGTGCCCTCGGGTTGCTACGGAGACCAGGCCTCCGGTCCTCATCGTCGCCTGATGCCGGTGGCCGGAGTTGCCGTAATCGCGGCAAACGTGCCGGGGTCCGCGTCAGGCTAAGGGCTAATCCAAGCCGACCGGGCCTTCCATCAATCCTGCTCTCCAATGATTGCCCCCTGGAAAATAAAATGGACTACGTTCGACTCCAGCAGACTACCCAGCGTGAAATTAGAGACTGCTGCGTCTTCGTTTTAACAGAAACATGGCTCAGCGACAGAGTTCCGGACACAGCCATTCAGCTAGATGGGCTCACCTCATTTCGTGCCGACAGAAATGCAGCTCTGTGCGGTAAGACTCGCGGTGGTGGCTTGTGTATTTACATCAACAAGGAATGAAGCAAGAACTCTGTACTCGTTTCTAGTTACTGCTCATCGCTGGTGGAGTTTCTAACTGTTAAATGCAGACCTTTTTATTTACCACGGGAATTCACCACTGTGCTTATTATAGCCGTGTACATTTCACCCAGTGCTAACGCTAAAGAGGCACTCTGTGAGCTGTACAGGGCTATCAGCGAATTGCAGAACTCACACCCCGATGGCCTGTTTATTGTCGCCGGAGATTTCAACCATGCAAATCTAAAGACAGTGCTCCCGAAATTCCATCAGCATGCGACGAGAGGAGAAAACGTGTTGGATCTTGTTTACACAAACATTTCTACCGTGTACCGAGCGAAGCCCCACCCCCACCTTGGATACTCAGACCACATGACTGTTATGCTAATACCAGCATACAGACCGCTTGTCAGAATCTCCAAACCAGCCCTGAGACAGGTGAGAACCTGGCCTGCAGGAGCTATCTCTGCTCTCCAGGACTGTTTTGAGCACAATGACCGGGTCATGTTCAGGGAGGCTGCAACAAATGGCGACACCACCAGTTTGAAGGAGTACACATCGTCTGTGACCAGCTATACCAGCAAGTGCATTGACGATGTCACTGTCTCCAAGACGATTACAACACACTCCAACCAGAAGTTGTGGATGACTGCAGAGGTGCGTGAGCTGCTAAAAACCCAAGACTCCGCCTTCAGAGCAGGCAACAAGACAGCCCTGAGAACAATGAGAGCCGAACTGTCTCGAGCCATCAGAGCAGCAAAGCATGCGTACAGCCAGAGAATCCACAGTCATTTCCAGGACAGCGGTGACACGCGGTGCATGTGGCAGGGCATCCAAGCCATCACCAACTACAGGACGACAACACCTGCCTTGTGCTAGTGATGTCTCCCTACCAGATGCGCTGAACAACTTCTACTCACGGGTCGATGCTCAGAACGACGTGATGGTGAGGAAGTCCACCCCTCCTCACAACGACCAGGTTCTGTGTCTAACCACGGCTGATGTGAGGAAAACTTCTCAGAGTTAACCCACGGAAAGCTACTGGTCCAGGCAACATCCCTGGAAGAGTGCTCAGAGAATGTGCAGACCAGCTGGCAGTCCTCACTGACATCTTCAACCTCTCCCTGAGCACTGCTGTCGTTCCAATGTGCCTCAAGGCCACCACCATCGTTCCCATGCCAAAGAAGTCCTCAGTGTCCTGCCTCAACGACTACCGTGCCGTTGCACTCACACCCATCATGATGAAGTGCTTCAAGAGGCTCGCCATGAGGCACATTAAGAACCTGCTGCCCCCCTCTCTGGATCCATTGCAGCCGGTCAAAAGATGATGCCATCGCCACCACCCTACATCTGGCCTTCACCCACCTGGAAAATAAGGACACATACGTACGAATGCTGTTCATAGACTTCAGCTCAGCATTCAACACAATCATTTCTCAGCACCTGATTGGAAAGTTGAGCCTGCTGGGCCTGAATATCTCCCTCTGCAACTGGAGACCTCAGTCAGTCCAGATCGGAAACCGCGTCTCCAACACCACCACACTGAGCACTGGAGCCCCCCAGGGCTGTGCGCTCAGCCCACTACTGTTCACTCTGCTGACTCACGACCATGTCCTCAAGTTCGGCGATGACACTACTGTGGTGGGTCTCATCAGCAACAACGATGAGTCAGCATACAGAGAGGAGGTGCAACAGCTAACAAATTGGTGTAAAGTCAACAATCTGTCTCTGAATGTGGACAAAACAATAGAGATGATTGTCGACTTCAGGAGAGCATGGAGCGGTCACTGTCCACTGAATATCAATGGATAATTTGTGGAGGTCACCTGGTGGAGAACCTCTCCTGGTCTCTCGACACCAGATCCATAACCAGGAAAGCCCAGCAGTGTCTCTACTTTCTGCGAAAGCTGAGGAAAGCCCATCTCCCACCACCCATTCTCACCACCTTCTACAGAGGGACTATCGAGAGCATACTGAACAGCTGCATCACTGTCTGGTATGGAAACTGCACCGTATAGGATCGCAAGGCCCTACAGCAGATAGTGAGAACATCTGAGAAGATCATTGGAGTCTCTCTTCCCTCTATCACAGACACCTATCACACCCGCTGCATCCACAAAGCCACTAGCATTGTTGAGGACTCCACGCACACTTCACACATACTTTTCACCCTCCTGCCTTCTGGCAAGAGGTACCGGAGCATTCGGGCCCTCACTGCCAGACTGTGCAACAGCTTCTTCCCCCAAGCCATCAGACTTCTGAACAGAGACCGGACTGATACACACACACACACCTTACACTGTCCACTACCTCAATAACTTTTTGCACAACCTATTGCACTGTCGCACTTTACACTTAGCCTGTCTTACTCTTAAGACAAGTCTTACTCTCATGTCTTTTATTGCACTGTCTGGTGGTGGTGGTCCCCTTATTTAAGAAAGAGGACCGGAGGGTGTGTTCCAACTACAGGGGGATCACACTTCTCAGCCTTCCTGGGAAAGTCTATTCCGGGGTACTGGAGAGGAGGGTGAGATCGATAGTCGAATCTCAGATTCAGGAGGAACAATGCGGTTTTCGTCCTGGCCGTGGAAAACTGGACCAGCTTTATACCCTTGCGAGGGTACTGG